GTTGCTAACACCCATTTATTCAGGCACGAAAATATTCAAGCATGAAGAAACCACTATTCAGAAAGCCCAACAGTATCGAGAAAATTTTGGGAAGACTGAGCGAGAGCCTGATATAGTGATATTTAGGCTTCAGTCACCTCCAGAGCAACCAACAACACCACCTTTTGTGACTCACAAAAGATGCTCTCCAATATATTCCTTCTGGAAATCCAAAAGCCTTTTTTAAAGAAAGAAACTAAAAAAATGAAAAATTGTAAGAGCCATTGATAGTGGAACACATATTCACAATAATCATGAAAGGTGTTTTAAAAATGTGAAAGTTGTCTTCTTTACTTCATGCCTAAGGTTTCTCTGAGAGAACTTTACAGAGTCCGTTTGACATATCTGTCACCGCCGGTGCCCTCTGCCTCTATATGATAGATTAAGTATGGCATTTTCTAAGAGATAGATCAAATGATAGATGTTATTTTTTTCTGACTTGTGTTCTTGCAAGAAATGTAGGTGGAAAAATTAAGAGTAAGCTTGATGACCCGAACCAAACTGCATGAAACCCAGTGCATACCTGCATTCCAGGCCTCGTTATAAGCACGGTTTATTCCTTAACGATCATGGAAATTCGTCAACAAATATTCTCCGGTCTCACCTTCATATATTTGTCATTTCATGCTGGAGAAGAACATGCAATATTTGAGGCAAATTTGCGAAACATGAATGAAAAAACAAGAACGAAACATTTGATCCGCAATCAGGTAGAAGGAAAACACAATCATCCAGCTTCATAATCATCAAATTTTAAATCTATATTGAGACAACAAAGTTGATGTAAACAAGTTTCGAGTAGAGCTAATAAACAAAGTATAATAATAAGAGTTTGGAATCTTGTAAACAAGATATAGCTAGTTTGACTAGCATATATATGCATTACTATCATAAAGAGGCAGAGATTAACGAACATACCTATTTTAGTGTAAACTAGCCATACATACATACATACATACATAAATACATACATACATACATATATCATGGCTTTACCTTTGAAACGGAGGATGCCCTAGGCTTTGACAATAAAAACACGCTGCAACCTTTACAAAGCTATATATATATTGTTTAGATTCGACAATGAGTTTTCATTATACGTCTCTTTTGGGTGTTGAAAATACTTTTTTTTTTCACTAGCTTCAAAAACTATGAGCAAAGCATGGGTTCGTGAGATGTTTTTGTCTTCCGCTTGGCATTGTTAATAGTTTTGTCAACTCACCTTCTGAATTCAAACTTCCAAAATTATGTCTTTCACGTTTGCAATTTTTGGTGCGAGTTCAGTCTCAGATTCAGTCACGCAGGATCTAGATGTTTGAAAACCAGGCAAGGGTTCAGTTTAACAACGATAAGGATTCCGTTAAAGGGTGATGGCAAAACAAAAAATGATGAAGAAAATAAAATAAGATAAGAGAGTCAAATGACCGGTCAAAGAGGGTCTCAAATGGTCAATGATGTTAGATCAGCTGATTTAACGTATCACGTCAGTATTATGTTAATAAAGTAATTGCCATTAACGTTGAGTTATTCGATAATATTAATGATCAATTTGTTGATTTTGAAATTTCAGTAAAAAAATGATAACTTAATAAAAAATTAGTGACCATTTGTGTCATTTACCCTTTTCCTCATCATAAAATGCAAAAGGATTTGTCTTTCTTTCGAACTCTTTAGGTTAATTTTGGCGGATGGAGAGGGAACTGGTGGATTTGTTCGAGGCCGCCAAGAAAGCGGCTGATTTGGCCGCTTCCTCCGACGCCGTTCTCACCGACGGCGCCGACGTTTCAAGATGCGTGGACGCCTTGAAGCAGCTCAAGGCTTTCCCCGTCAGTTACGACATTCTTGTTTCCACTAAGGTTTTTTTTCCTATCACTTCCTTCGCCATTAACATATATATTTTTTGCTTATTTTAGTTCTAATATATATATATATATATATATATATATATAAAGTATAAACTTGCACCTGAGCGTATCTTTGTTTTAATTTTGTCACTGCCTATTAGAAGGAAAATTTAATTATATATATGTGGAATCTTAGTTCAGAGAAGCTGATTTAATACGGTGCAAAAATAGTGATTGCGTGAATCTGTGATTTTGCAATGCCTTTCGGATTCCCATGGCAAATAAATCAAATTGCTTCTAGTACTGAATATATGAACATGTAAACTATATTAGGTTATTACCAGGAGGAGGCTCCGGTTTTGTGCTATGGTTTTGGCCACTGACTAGAAGTGATCAATAGAAAGTTAGGAGAGACTTAATTTAGGCAATATTTTCCCGAACTGTACTCTTTTCTTGTTGTAGTTAGGAGTATATAGTTGAAAATAGCTTAAAATAGATCCTATGGTTTTCCCATTTTTCTCTCTTGCAAAGTAGGTGAACCTCTCTCTCTTTCATTCTCCATTCACCGTTTTAGAACCCCATTTTTTAACCATCAAGTATGTTAAGGGTGTGGTTGGATGGAATGATGGAAAGAGTGATTGTCTAGGTGGAAATGGAATAAATTTTGAGTGTGCTTGGTAGGAAAGAAAACAAGAGAGATTACCATTTTCTATCCTAATCCATAGAAGCAAATCATTGCAAAATTTAAATGATAAGAGGAGATCATAAGAGGGGGAAAGATGTATGTTCAAAATTATGCATTTTTAAAAAGTTTTGTCTTCTTTCCTCTCATTTTTCAACTCTACCAAGCAAGGAATGGAAAGAAAATTACTTTTTCTTTCAATTTTTCCATCTTTCCTATCAAGCACACTAATGGACAGAAAAAAATATTTTCTTTCTATTCAAATTTTACACCCTCATAATTTTCTTTCCCCTCTTCTAAGCAAACACAGCATGTCATTTGAACCTATTAGTGGATCTTTTTTGAAGTTTATATAATCTTCTCCTTGTACATATGTGTGTTGTTGAATATGTGCACTTCAGAAAAATTTATCTCCCATGTATATTACAGGTTGGAAAAAGGCTTCGGCCTCTCACAAAACATCCCCGGAAGAAGATTCAAACTGTGGCTTCTGACTTGCTTGAGTTTTGGAAAAAAATTGTTATCGAGGAGACTACCAAGACCAAGAAAAATGGCACCACTGATGCTGTCAAGTTGGAGAAACTACCGAAGCCAAGTGCCATGAAGTCTGAAAAGCTCTCCAATACAGAAAGTGTGAAGGCTGAGAAAGTATCTAAAGATGGTTCAGTAAAAGATGTCAAAGTTGAGAAGAGGGAATCAAATGGAGAGATTGATAAGGTTGAAAAGCTTTATAATGATGTCAGACAAGCACCGGATGTAAAGAAACCATTGCAGCCATCTGCTGGTCCACCAAAGCTGACATCAACGGCCAAGTGCAATGATCCACTGCGTGACAAATTTAGAGAGATTCTTGTAGAAGCCTTTTCTAAAGTTCCCGGTGAGGTTGACAAGGACAAGTTTGATCAAGTTAATGCTTCTGATCCCATCCAAGTTGCTGTAGCTGTAGAATCTGCGATGCTCGAGAAGATGGGTAAATCAAATGGCACCCAGAAATTCAAGTACAGATCTATAATGTTCAACTTGAAGGATCCAAAGAACCCAGATTTAAGGAGGAGGGTTCTTCTGGGAGAAGTGGAACCAGAAAGGCTTATTTCGATGACACCAGAGGAAATGGCTAGTGATGAAAGGAAACGTGAAAATAATGAAATCAAACAAAAAGCTTTATTTGATTGTGAGCGTGGTGTCGCACCAAAGGCCACGACAGATCAATTCAAGTGTGGTCGTTGCGGTCTACGCAAGACCACTTACTACCAAATGCAGACAAGGAGTGCGGATGAACCCATGACAACTTACGTTACGTGCGTAAACTGCAACAACCATTGGAAATTCTGTTAGGGAATCCGGAGATCCGTCATTCATTCATGCAGTGAAGATGTATGGTGATCGATTAACTTTAAAATAATCCTTCATTCATATTTATCTGCAATAGGAACTCTCATAGGGGATAACTAGGTACTTGAGTATGACTTAGCTGTATCACAACTTCTGTGCTTCCAAAACGAGAGGCTCAACTTGTGGCAAAGATGAGCTTGGATGCACAACCAGGGACACTGGCAATTTATTTGTCAGTTTCTTTCCATGTGAAGTAACTATTTCTTGTTCCTTTCCATTATTAGTCATTGACCCTCGTAGGTTTTTTTTTTTAGAAGGTAGCGGGAATTTTAGTTGTGGAATTACACTTATTAACAACGCTATAATTGAAGCCATGTTTCAATTTTCTTTTTCTACTCCATCAATGTTCGGCTTGCTTTTTCGATTCCAAATAATATTTGAAGATCCGTGTTTTAGTTGCTTGGGCGTGTGTTTGTTTTGTAAATAGATTAAGAAAATTTTGAACATATCAATTTTGATTCAAAGAATGAAATAAATACATGGGTAAATTATACATTTAATACCTAAACTATTAATTTGGTCTGTTTTAATACTTAAATTTTTTTTTTTTCAAAATCATACTTGATGTTTAGTTTTGATTAAAAGAATGAAATAAATACATGGGTAAGTTACGCATTTAGTATCTAAACTATAAGTTTTGGTCTGTTTTAAGACCTAAACTTTTAATTTTTTAAAAATCATATATAATGTCTAGTTTTTATTTCATTTTAGTACAATATTGTTAAAACTTGGCACATTTAGTACTTAAACTATCAGTTTTGGTATATTTAAGTACTTAAACTTTTAAAAAAAATTTCAAAACTTAACGTTAACCTTTGAACAGTGTACTGAAATGAAACAAAAATTAAACTTTAGATATAATTTTAAAAAAAATGAAAAGTTTAGGTATTAAAACTGATAGTTTAGATACTAAATACATAATTTACCCTAAATAAATATATTAGTTGAATTCAATGAATGACGGGATAAAACGAGGATAATAAATGGATTTGAATTTTAAAATAGATAGATAAAATCAATAATTTTGGGACTTGCTGCTGGTGCTTACGGAGAAAGGGGGAAATTAAAATCAGAAACACAGCTGAGGTAGCTTTAAACAAAATCAAAATCAATCATACGGTTGAGGTAACTTTGGTTTGAAAATCATCATCATCATTATTGTCTCCAACAAATTGAGAAGAATCTGATGGAGTTGGGCTCTGCAATGTGTTGTCATCCATGGATTCTTCCCCCCAATCTGCACCCTGAAGAAATCAAGATCCAAACAAATCGGCATTCTGGTTTTCACTTTTTAAATCAAGTTAAAAACAAGGGTAAACTGCACGTTTTGTATCTCAATTATCACTTTTGTTTTATTCTGGTCACCCAATTATTTTTGCGTAAATTATGCATTTAGTATCTAAACTATCAGTTTTTATTTCGTTTTACTATCCGCGGTCAAAAACTTCACACGTTTAAGTACATGAACTGTCAGTTTTTATCCGTTTAGTACCTAAATTTTAAAAAAAAATCAAAACTTAACGTAATAACGTTAAATTTTGAACATGGATATTAAAATAAAATAAAACTTAAACTTTATGTATGATTTTGAAAAAAAAACTGAAAGTTTAAGTACTAAAACGGGTAAAAACTGATAATTTCAGTACTAAATGCATAATTTACCATTTTTTTCAAAATCAAAACTTTGTTTTCATTTTGGTCCTCCACCATTAAAAAAATTAATTGGCGTGACATTTTTTTAATTTTTTTCAATGATGACATGATATTATCTTAAACTATAAATCAGTGTCATCGTTAATATTTTAATAGTAGGCGGGTGATGAAAATAAAACTAAAACTAAATTATTATTATTTCAAATTCATGTGTAACGTTGAGTGACCAAAACAAAATAAAGTTTATAGTTAAAGTAGTAAACATGTAGTTTACCTTAAAAACAACTTACCAACAATTGAACTTCCTTCTTCATACTGGCCACCTGCCTCTCCCTCAATGACTTTATCGGTGAAATCCTCTGTTTCAAAATCAATTGAAATCATGAATCTATAAGAAACAAACAAGAAACTAAAACTCTTCCAGCTTGATTTAAGTAATTACCATGCTATAAGATTTGAGCTCCTTTAATCTGAACAACCGATCCACCTCCATCTCCAGCTGCTTCTGAAACCGTCCTCTTTCTTCCAGATCCTTGATCTGCGAATCCAGCACGGCGTTCCTCTCTCCCAACATCTTCTCCGTCTTCTCCTTATCCGATATCAGCCGCTCCATCCTCTTCCTCATGGCGCTGAGCTCCTCCGCCAACGAGCAATCCAAATCCAAAGCCTCCTCCACCTCCATCTTCTGATTTTTCTTCTTCGTCGGCGGCGGCGTGGAGTACATTGTCTTGGAATGATGATGGTTCAGGTTCTCCTTGTTTGATACATCGTCCGGGGAGTGCTGTTGTTTGGGCTTCGAGTTCACTTGCTTAGTCTTCGAGCCTTCTTTCAGCACAACCATGAAATTGGCATTGACGGCGGCTGTATTCCTCGGGTGGAGAGGTTTACGGGCGCTGAGATGAAACTCCGGCGTAGCCATTATTAGGGATTTGAGGGGGTTGACAAAAAAGGGAAAATGGGGGCAAATGGGGAGAGATGGGAGGGGCAGATATAAAAAAACAAGGAGAGTTTGAATTTGAATAGAAGCAGGCGCTAACGGCTACTACTTTATTTATATAAACCAGCTAAAGTCGTACTACTTCTTTGTCTTTTACTTTTTTTTGTGTGTAAACTACACCGGATAGCATTGAACTTTGCCTGCTGTCTCCTTTATATCATTGAATTTTTAGTTTTATAATTATAGCACCGAACTTTAGTTTTCCAGTCAATTATGTCATTCTGTCTTTAAGTCACTAAGGGACAATGACATGGCTAATGCTTGCTGATGTGGCATGCAACACCAAAACTTCATCGTTTTGGTGCGATTGTTATGATGCTTAAAACGACGTCTTATTGGACATTAAACTTTTGGTGTGTATCAATTATGCCACTAAACTTCTAAACAATTTTCTTTTTTACCACTATACTTTCTGGCCTCCGTTGGTAACCAAGCATCGATGTTCACCGATCATATGTCGTGACAAGATCTCTACTAAAACGCTCGTATTTCACTCCTCTTTCTTCTCATAGGATTGGTTTTCCACAAAACCCATTAAAAATCGACGAAAATCTATTTAAAAATTCAATGTATTAATACTCTGATCTCTGATCTCTTTCAATTATCGATCGATGAAGCTAGTTTGAGGTAAGTTTTCGTTTTCTTGAAATAATGCTTTTCACCGTTCAGATTTTCTAACAAACAACTCAAATCTTGTAAATCTAATCAAGTCTCCAAACATCTAAAAAATGGTAGATTTTTTGTGTGTTTAATTTCGTCGATTTTGAATGGGTTTCATGGAAAATTAATCATATGAGAAGAATGAGGAGTCAAATGCGAACATTTTGGTATCAATTTTGTTGCGAAAGATGATAGGTGATGGCAGTGATTGGCTGCCGACGACGGTAAAAAAATATGTGGTAAAAAAGAAAACTATTTAAAAATTCAGTGGCATAATCGATACATCCCTAAAGTTTAATGTCCATAAAGACATCGTTTTAGGCATAGAAAAATCACAATAAAATGATGTCATTTTGGTGTGGCATACCACATCAGCAACTGTTAGCCATATCATCATGTTACAAACTTAACGACAGAGTGGTATAATTGAATGTAAAACTAAAGTTTAGTGCTATAATTGATAAAATTGAAAGTTTAGTTATAAACCAGCCAACATATAAAGTTTAGTGGTATTTGGTGTAGTTTACCCTTGTTTTTTTTCCTTTTTTCCTTTATCAAAGTTTTTTTTTTCTCTTTTTCTGTTCTCAAAGAAGAAATCATTTAAGATACATAAAATGGTAATAGTTTATCCTTTATTTTGATAAAATGGGGAGGGGTGGTTCCAGCTTGAGCCTACAATTTGATGTCATTTTATTGACCTTAAAAGTAAAAAATTATAATTTAATTATAAATTTTTGAATAAATATAAGATTGAAATGTAATGTTATGCTCTTGACTAAAAAATGTGTTCTAACTCCATCTTCAATGAAATTTTTGTCATTACACTACAAGTTTGCTTGACATAAATGATTTATCAAATGAACATATCATTTTATTTTTCTAAACATGATTTATCATTTATTTATAATTTTATTAAATTAATAATTTTAGGAAATCAATTAGAGAGAGAACAAAAATAATTGACAAATTTAACACTAAGAAATAATAAACGCCTAATCAAATACGTTTGTCTGATTCTGGTACATAGATTGTGGCTTTGGCTTCAAATTTCATTTGGCCAGCAACATCAATCCGCATACTTTACACCTTGATTATGCAAACTTGATGAAAAGGACTCAATCCGATTCACAAGTAATCCTTCGGAAGTTCCCAATCATCATCTGCTTTCCTCATCCTTGAGCGTGATCTCCGGCCGCTTGAACCCCTTTGGTTTCTCCATCCATCATGGAATTCGACAGACTCATCATCATCATTTTCATATTCTGTACTCTCATCTATGGAAATAGCAGCATTGTTGGCATCCCAGAAACCCTGGCATAAGCAGTCGGCGATTATACCAATAGCGGAGTTTATATTATAGATAAAAAGACATTAGTAAGCACATTTAATGGAAAACATTTTCAAATACGAAACAGATGAGGACATATCAGCTTCTCTATTTTTACGAGAGAACTTATTATCCAACTCAGGGTGTTAAACCAAGTTCGAGTTATGAACAAAAGTTGCCCGTGGATCATAACAACGTCCCGTTATTGTTATATGGACAACCCAATTCAGTCAGCCAAAGACAACACAAGCTACATTGTCCCAGCGATAGAAAAGTTGCATGCTTGTCAAACGGACTCCGGAAATGTGGCTCGTATGCCAGAATACAATCGTCTGAGTTATGATTGCCGATTTGGGAGGGGGGAGCTTATTTTTAGCTGATATCACTGAGTTAAACTGGGCCTAATAGGCATGCATATCAACATGAAGGCAAGCAAGTGCCTGTGCTTTGCATATGGAAATATTAAGTGATGAGTAAGATACCTTTGTCAGCCTCTGAATACGTGGCGCTGCAGCTTCGTGAACAACTACTGTATCAGCTATAACTTCCAGCACATCCTCAACAAGCAAAGCATAAGTGCTCACCTAGAACCATAAAATGATTACGACAGTAAAACTACAGGAAAATTCTGCAAATTTCATGACTTGAGATATTAAATGTATTAAAAGATAAGAGGGCAGTCACACTACCAAACTTGATGGAATTAATGATATCCCGAAAGAATCCAACTCAAGAGATTCAACAACCCCTGAATTAATGTTGAAAGTATAGCCCCGCACCTAGAATTATATGAAATATTAAGATCATATAAAGCACCCTGAAATAAGCAGAGTTTCTAGCACATAAAGTATGTACTCACCTTCCCAATGTTTTGACGTCCGGGAGTTACAACTCTGTATCCTACCTAACAAACACCAGAAATTAAGCTCTCAGAAATATAATCTAAAGAAATAAAACGCAATTCCTAATGATCGTAAAAGGAGAAATGTTTGATATCTTAGAAGAATGTAGCATATCAACGTCATTCATTCATAAATCAACAGAAACATGGAAAAACAAGAATAATCACTGTGCAAACTTTAAATTTTAGTGAAACCTAAAACGAGTTTACTTATAGTGCATAGTGAACAGTAGCGACCCAGACACTAAATCAAGGGACTATGTTTCAAAACAACCGAAACTTGCAAGCTGAAACAATATAGCTCTATTTCAAATGAGAAACTAGTCATCACTCATCACCATGGCATCATACCAAACATGAGATTTTCATAGGATTGAACACAAAAAAATTGCATAAAAGCATTCTATACCATAAAGATAACTGCAATTTCAACATGGGCAGAATAATCAATGGATCATACAGATAAAAATGATGTGATTAACATCCAAACAGAAAATAAGATATGCATGGAGCGTTACCTACCAGCGTCTCAAGTCCAATCATTTTAAAATCATTCTCCGTCTCATCTTCAACAAGCACAACATCACCAACCTTTAAAAGCAAAAAACATAGTTACTATATGAGAAAGAACGGTAGAAGCAAGCATAATCCTTGACCTACAGACTCGGACTCCTTTTTGTTAGAAGACAGATTTATAGGGACATCAAACATGAGCCAGAGACAGGAATGCAGCAGAATTTAAATGCAAAGCAGAAACATATAATCTATTACCTTGGCAACATCTTGTAAAAGAAACCGTTCTGATTCCCCAGAGAGCAAGCTTGGCCTCACCTCCACAACCAATACCACCCACTGAAACAACAGCATATGCATTAACAACTTGGCTCACTTGTGCTAAAACTCACAAGGAAAAGAATAAAAGTCCAAATTTTTTTTGTCTAAAAAAATAAACAATTTGACTATAATGCAAAACAAGCTAAAAAAGGCATACAATTTGGCATTCAAAAGAAACTTTTTTTTGCTTTACTCTTCTAAATTAATACGTGAACAGTAATAGTAACAATGGAACTAGGCAGTAAACTAAGATACTATGAAAACCAAAATTCCAAATTAAGCTAATCTGAATAGCAAAGAACTAACTGAGGTGGTATCCACCCATAATTGAGACACAACGCCTAAGCTTTGAGCAGACTGGATGCTTATTACTTGCTTTGCCACCATATTTAACCTCTTCATCACTTGCTTCTTCTTCTTCATCTTCCTTCTAACCAATTCCTCCCGACTTCTCTCTCTCCCCTTGTCGTCACTAATCTTCTCCAAGCTAGCATTACTTCGACTTCGTCGGAGTTCGAATTCGTTGTCCCCTTTGTCTTCAAACTCCAACTGCCCATATCCGTCTCCATCTGAGCCTGACCTTGGAGAAGGGGCTGCTTTCGCAGCGCATTTCAAAAGCTGTAATCTGCCATTTTTTCTGATAATCGGGAAATGGGTACCTGGAATATCGGAGTTACCGAGCTTTGGGTTTCCAGGTCCGATGACTGTAAATCCGAGGGCGCTCCAGGTCCACCGGACGCAGTTGCACATAATACCCGAAGCACCCAACTTCGGGCGGAATTCAAAAGGTTATCAGCAAAAGTAAACCCAACTCGACGCCGCTCGACGCACGGCTGGTTAATAGTACGGTACTAGTAGGCAGTGGGCTGGTTGATACAGAGAGTTTTCTCCTATTTTGTCCATAAAAATAATCTGAATTTCACTTAGATTGCAAGTTGTGATGCTCATCGATAGCCAGTCTGATCTTTGTGGATATATGAATAGTGTTTTGGGTAAAATTCTGGAGATTGTACCTGTTCTTTTCGTTTTGTAAGCATTTAGTCACTCTATTTTTTTTGATAAAGAAGATCCCTCTACTTTTCAATTTATTTAAGAATTGATTATTTTAATCCCCACCAGATAAATATCTAATGTGTTACTAAATATATATAAATTATTGTTATTTTTTAAGGTTCATGATTCAAACATCATGAATGTCTAGGTTACGTGCGTTCAATGCTAAATATTTAAAGTGTGTTTAATGTTAAACGATTAAAATTATCTTTAAACATATATTGTTTTATATTTATCCCAAATTAGTTAAAATATTATTACAATATTGTAACATCTTGATATTCAAAATGTTATATATATACACTAGAAAAAAAATGTTGTAACATATTTACTATATACCTAGAATGTTACAACATTATAGTAATTTTGTTATATTTTATAATATATTCAATATTTTAAGGGTAAATTATGTATTTAATACTTAAATTATCAGTGTTGATTTATTTTAGTATCTAAACTTTTAATTTTTAAAATCATACCTAACGTTTAGCTTTTATTTCATTTTAGTACATCACCGTTAAAAACTTAATGCATTTAGTACCTAAACTATCAGTTTTGGTCCATTTTAGTATCTAGACTTTCATTTTTTTTAAAAAAATAACGTTAAATTTTGAACATGAGTACTTAAATAAAACAAAAACTAAATTTTATATAAAAATTTAGTGCTAAAACGATCAAAACTGATAATTTAAGTACTAAACTTATAATTTACCCTATTTTCAATAACACATGGTTTTTCTACCTCTTCGTAGTCTTTTTCTTCAAAAATAAATGCTTCATATTATTGATTAAATCCACCGTTGCTTGAATTTTTATTTTAATATCCTTTAATGTATTATCTAACAAATTCTGGCATCCATCAAATAATTTACAGTATTTGATTAGAATTTAAACCAAATTCAAATAATACAAAAAATTTATAATTAAAAAGTAAAAATAATATTATTTATTTAGACATCTTATTTTGTCCTAAAAAATTATGAAAACCTATTCATTCACCCTATTTCAAAGCGTGACAAAAATACATAAAAGCATTCAATTCCTTAAAAGAGAGGGAGTTGCGTGTAAGTTTCCCAAATAAAAAAATGTTGTTTTTTTATTATAAAAAAATAAAAAGAAGAATAAATAATTGAGATTAGCTATAGAAAAGGTGGCGGCTGCCAAGCAAGAAAAAAGAAAGGGAAGAATGGCAAGTTGGCAACCATAAATAATCAAAGGGTAAACTACACAATTACTGCATCGACTATCACTTTTGATCTGTTTTAGTCACCTAATTATTTTTTAAATCATACATAATTTTACGTTTTGATTTCATTTTCATCACCTACCATTAAAAAACTAATAGAATTAATGACATGGTTTTTTTATTTTTCAATGAAGATTTGGCATTATAATATGGCAACACATCAGCATCATATTCAATTTTTTAATAGTAGATGACCAAAATGAAACTAATACTAAACGTTAAGTATGATTTAAAAAAGGTTGAATACACTTTTAGATGTCTAAACTGTACCTCAAATTGACTTCTCATGTTTAAAGAATTTTTTGCTAAAAATAGGTGTCTAACGTTTCTAATATTACACTTTTAGATGTTTAGATTGTAATGGTCGTTAAATTAATTGTTATCTGACACGTGTCACCAAATACAAAATTTCAAAAAAATATTTTTAAAAAATTAATATTATAATTAAAAAAACAAAACAAAAATTCACTGTCGATCGGTCACCTCGGTCCGTGACTGTCGCCATTAACACCATCAGAACCGTCTCGCTGTCGCAACCAAAATCCAGTCCCCATGTACTGTGAACCTGCGTCGATCGTCTTGAAAAGGTTCACGGCGGTCTTCGATTTTCTAAGTTTTCCTTCATTGTTTTCCGACAGCTACAGGTAGGGACGGACGCAGGAATTTAAGTTAGGAGGGGCGAAATTGAACTTATAAAATTTCAGGAGGTAAACTTGAACTTATAAAATTTTAGGGGCGAAAATATATTTTCAATAGAAAATACATAGAAAAAATCTTAAAAAATATGGTGATTTTAGATTTTTAGGGGCTACAACCCCCACTCGCTATCCCTAAGTCTATCACTGTCTACAGTTGATTATACATTACACAGCTGTCACCATTAAATTTCTCATTCTGCTCCGAACAAAACTCAGTCGGTGGTGACCATTCGTCATCGTCGGAGGTGGAAGATGGGAGGGAGAGGGACAACACATAATTATTAAGCCTTAAAAAAAATAGTTGAATCACTAAAACGGAAGAAAAATTATAGTCGAGTCACTAAACGTGTAGTTTACCCATAATGAAATAAAGAAAGCATTAATTAATTAATACGCGGAGAGTTGTGCTGTTATATTATGCTACGCAAATCCAATTATAAGCATTCTTTCTTTATAAAAAATCCGGCGGAGTCCCGTTTCAATTTGTTTCTTCTTCCCTAGGTATTTCGTTTCGTTTCTCTCTTTCTATAATCATTGCTTTGGTTTATCAAAATTAGCATCAACTGTTTGATCATCTGCATCTGTTTCGGTTTCAATGTTCTCTAGTTTCAAGTTTCTATTCATTGATTATCTGCATCTGTTTCAGTTTTATAGAGAATGGGACTTCTGTTTTTTGTTAAACGTTTTTCTTCCAATTTTCATTGGTTTCTTCATCCTATTTGCGTTAAAGAGGGGACTTCAAATCCTATACATTTTCCTCAAATAGGTAATTAGTTTTTCAATGTTGTATAATCAAGGTTCATCACCCCCCGGATAAAATAAAAAGAAGGAACCCACTTTGTGAAAAAGGTTTTTGTGTTGATCTTGGTGATTTTCTCTTCGAAAGTTTCGTTTGTGCTTGTTATCCCAAGATCAAGTTTTGATTTTTCTTTTGCTTGTTAAAAATATGTTTTTTTGTTGTTGCTAATTTTACGAGCTTCTTGTGGAATTTTGATTGGCAGATTTAATTGCAAGGTCTTCATGAATTCAAGAATTGCTGGAGAATCCACAGTTTCCTGCAAATCGGGAAACAAGAACGCCTTCTTCTGGATCCTCTTTTGCTTGCTTCCCAAGTTTCTTGGAACTCCTGTCGCATACCTCAGCCTTATCTCGTTCAAGGCCATTGATAGGAGTCTTGCAGTAATCATCATTTAGGATACTTGTCAGGGGGGTCATCAATCGTGTTTCAGTCGATCGATTTGCTTATTTGGCAACATGGTTTCATCACAGTTATCTGGTCTGACCAAGGGTCGTACATGTAAACCATTTGATGCTCAGTTGCTATTCACTGCAAACCCCCCGGAAGCTGTTTTGCCTTGTCAGGTTGAAGTAGATTTTTCCGATGTGTTCGGTCCCCTGCTAATTCAGGACTCAATAGAAGTCAATTGTGGTGAATTAGAGAATACTGATTCAGCTAAGGATGCGATCGAGCTTGTTTATGATGAACCAGCTATTGTTTACAGCCAATCGCATTCTTTGCTCGGTCCCTCTCCTCTTGTCAGTCCATCCTTGAAGCTAAGAAAACTCACTTTATGTGAGACAAGGGATGCAGTGGATCTTGTAGAACTTATTGACGAAGAAACCAACAACGAAGAGGATGAGCTCTCTGTTGAAGATGGTGACAACAACAAGTCCCAAGAAGATTTTAATGGAGATCACATGAAGGTCAGCAGTATTGGTGTTGAGGACTTTGAGGTGTTGAAGGTGGTCGGGCAGGGCGCATTCGGAAAAGTTTATCAGGTAAGGAAAAAGGGCACACAAGAAATTTATGCGATGAAGGTTATGCGGAAGGACAAGATAATGGAGAAGAATCATGCAGAGTACATGAAAGCAGAGAGGGATATTTTAACTCAAGTTGATCACCCTTTCATTGTTCAGCTCAGATACTCATTTCAAGTAATTTCTAGCTCTCCAGTGAATCTACTCTCTAGGATTTATTTTTAAATGCTTTTAACAGACATCTATGGAATTAGAATTTCACAATGCCTTGTACTAATGATTTTTATCCATTCTTTTACAGACCAAATATAGGTTGTACCTTATTTTAGATTTCATTAACGGAGGGCATCTTTTCTTTCAACTTCACCATCATGGACTTTTCAGGTATCATTGTGATCTTTGCATTTTTTTTTAACCTGTCCAAGAAATGGTTGATGATGTTTTCATTGTTTTTCAGAGAGGATCTGGCTCGTATATACACTGCTGAAATCGTTTCTGCGGTTTCACATCTTCATGCAAATGGCATAATGCATAGGGATCTTAAACCTGAAAATATCCTTTTGGATGCTGATGGCCATGTATTCACTTTCTCCTCCATTGTTATCTTTATCTGTTCTTGCTGTACCAGCAACGCTGACTAAATCTTTATCGTATATCGTTGTTCTTTTGTGTAGGTAATTTTGACTGATTTTGGCCTGGCTAAGCAATTTGACGAAAATACAAGATCAAACTCATTGTGTGGAACAGTCGAATACATGGCACCTGAAATAATTACTGGGAAGGGCCATGATAAGGCTGCAGACTGGTGGAGTGTTGGTGTTTTATTATTTGAAATGCTTACTGGAAAGGTAATTTCTGTTTTAATTTTTTTTTTCTGCTTTCTTCTCTTTGCATCAAATGCCACTTTGTTGATGTTCAAAATGCTTACTTTCACTGGTTACTGGTGCCTTTTGTTTCTACATTTGTAGGAGCAATTTGCAAACCTTCTTTTTGTGATGGCAGTTCAGGGAATTAAACATTAACTTCTGGTTCTTTCTGTTCTTGCAGCCTCCTTTTACTGGAAACAGGGAAAAGATTCAAAAAAGATTGTTAAGGAGAGGATGAAGCTGCCTAAATACCTTTCTAGTGAAGCACATTCTCTGCTGAAAGGGGTAAATATTCCTGTTTAATGTCCCTAAACTTATCTGCATCTTCCTGGATGAATTAATGGTCGTAAGCTGGGATGTTGCCGGCCTAGAACTGTCCTTTCTAGTTTCTCACCTGAGAGCTCTAGCTAAAGATAAATCTTGAATGGCTGATCTCTAGGAACTGGTTATTAACAATTTGGTTTTCTTCTGTTTTAGCTGCTACATAAAGATCCGAGTAAGCGCCTTGGAAGTGGACCGACCGGAAGTGAGGAAATAATGCGATGCAAGTGGTTGAAGACAATAAACTGGAGGAAACTAGAGGCGAGGGAGATCCAGCCCAGTTTTCGTCCTGAAATCGCCGGGAAGCGTTGCATTGCAAACTTCGATAAGCAATGGACAGACATGCAGTTGACGTTTTCTCCTGCGTCTAGCCCGAAAAGCAACACAAACCCTTTCACAGATTTCAATTATATAAGACCTGCTGCAACCAACCCTTTACATCAGAGTAGTTCATCATATAAGTTTGTCTTGGCTTAGCCTTGGCATTTTGCTCACCTATAACAAACCCGAAATTAGTCTGTAGTTTTTTCTTAAATTTACTGGGTTCGAATAATTAAGGAACTCTTATGGAAACAATCTCAGTTTTTCGATTGAAATAGAAATGAGATATTACAAATCCACAAAGAATCTTATTTGTTCCTTGCTTTATATTTCATTTCACATTTTGCATGTATAGCCAGCTTCCAAAGACCCTTTACCTGGGCCATAAGCAGTTTTAAAGATAATCATGGTTGAGGAATGTCTCCAAGGAATTTTTCTTCCTGCAACCCCAACGGCAATGCCAAGAACACCTGGAGTTAAAGATTGCGAGTCTCGTTGAATGAAGGGATATTAGGTTTGCGGTCGAATGAGACTTTGAAAGGACAATTGCATAGCCATCATCCATGTAGTCCGTCCCATCGGGGAAGAGCTGCCACAAGAGCTACCAGCTCCACTCCCTCCTTTCTTTGTCGAGTTCAGGAGTGTTTTGTACACCGTGCTAATAAGAGTGTCTCGGTATGATGAGTTATAGCCGGTGTCTTTTGAGGATACTCCAAACTCGGAGAAGATAACAGGCATCCCCAGATATTTCTCTGCATCTTCTATGTGGGCCTCCATCCATGATTTAGTGAATAGGAGATGAGCATCAGAAATCATTTGCGAAATCCTTCACAAATCAATTAAATCATCTATTATGATGTTTCCATATGCGTGATACGAAGAGGGTATGATTAACAGAGAGGTTAAAATGTGATTCATAGGAAGTATACATAATATCTTTATTGTATTTAAAAAAACGGGTGTTCGTACCAGGAATCGGCATAAATGTGAACAGATGCAAAATCGACGCCAAGAGCCTGATGGTTTCTTATAAAGTCAGTTCCAACTTGAGTTGCATATGAATTCGGGTTGAACTTGGTCCTTGCAGGTGCTGAGGGTCCATAAAATCCTTCTACTCCGATTTCAACCAAGTGCTTTGCATCAAGGCTCTTCACGTACGCTGCCATTTCCGCTATCCATGACTAGAGCACAATACTAGAATTTAGAGGATTAATATATGCAAAGCTAATTTCATTCTGTGACTACTTCTTACAAGAAAACCGAACCTGCAGAGTATCCCCGGAGGGATCTGAGGCGCATCGAGGTTCGTTCATCAGTTCCCAAGCAAATATCGTAGGGTCATCCTTGTAAGTTATGTTTGTGAATGTATTGACTCTATTTAGCACTGCCTATACAGCTCAGAAAAGTAACAGATGAGTTCCACTGCGTCGAACCACTGAGAATACATCAGCAAATTCGACAAACAGAGCTGTTAAACATATAGTTGAAAAGAACTTACCTTAACGTGGGACTTGTAGTAACTCCTAAGAGTCGGATGAGAGAAAAATTCGTCGACTGAAGTCAAGTTGAGGCCGGAAGCGTTTCCCCACTTAACATATTGTGCCTTACCACCATATGCATCCCAGTTATTAACCAATGACAATATGAGCCTGATCTTGTATTTCTTTGCTTCACTCACCGCAAAATCCAAGGCCTGCAATATAATTTTTCAAAGGAAAGACTTCGTTATCTGATTCAGATGACTGACATTGCCATGTGCCGTATGCAAGCAATCCGAAGCCACCATTCAGGGTGACATTAGTACCTTGAATACATCCTCGTCGTAAACTGAAGGAGACTTCTGAAGAGCTCGCCATTGGCCGTCGTTGAAAGCCCAAGTCCTGCAAACAGTTAGTCCGACCGACGATGCTTTTTGGAACAATTCAGAGACCTTCCCTCTTGTAGATAGATCGGCTGCGAATACCATCAACCAGTAGGTATTGAATCCATTGACATAGAAAGGTTGACCATTGACGACAAACTGGTTCCCTTTGGTCTGCACCATTTGCCAGTCATCATCATCTTCCAACTCTTCCACATTATACACCCTGAACATAGTAAACCATAAACATGTTATATCCAAGTTTCTATACTTGAACATTAGAAAGTTCTTATAAAAACGTATAATACCCTTGTCTCGAGGTGACGAGGACTTCGTCCCCCATGGTCTCGATCAGCTCTTCCCCTTGAAAACCGAAGAAATCGGCCCTCGAATCGTCAAAGAAAAACATGAGAAAGGCCAACGAAAGAAAGAAGCATCTCTTGAAAGTGTCCATGACTATGAAAAATTGACCCCCCCCCCCAAAAGCTGCATTTTTGCATCTTCTGGAGGTAACATATTTATACACGTGTCTTGTGCAGCAATATCTATGACCACCCCATACACATAGTAAGAAGAAAACTAATCTTTAATCTGAACTTGTGAAACAAGAAGAGTATCAAAGAGGGGATGGTTTATGTAGCTTGGAAGCCAAGAAAAAAGGGTTTCCAATGGATTCCCATTGAGATAACAGATAGGGTAAGATGAGAAGACACTAGAAACTGAGATTGAATAAAAGGGTATTTAGTTTCACAATTTGCAAGGACACCATGTGATGGAGCATAAAGCTTGTGACTCCCAAGTTAAGTTTTAGGTCCAGGCTTTAGGGTTCAGAGAGGACAAGGATTGGTTGAGATGTGAACATCATTGCGTTTTCTTGGTGTACAAATACAATCTAACTATTCCCATCCACCAAACAGAACTTTCACTTACGTTTATAAAGCAAAGCAAGAGAGAAATAAAGGAAAGAATTTTGCTACTCAGAGTCTCTGATAATGCGAGAAAAGTTGTCTTCAGCTTTTCTGCCTACTTGTATGTGAGAGAAGAAGAAGAAATAATTCAGTTGGTTTTCAGTTTTCAGTGATTGCAGGTATGGAAAGCTGGGTGGGAGAGTTTACAAATTTTCATTAGACTAATCCCTTTTTTATTGTCAATCCCAAGCTTAATTATTTATCGGGTAAACTATAAGTTTAGTACCCCAACTATCAACTTTATTCTGTTTTGATCACCCAATTAATTTTTTTTCAAAATCACACTTTTGGTTTCATTACGATCATTAACCATTAAAAATTAACAAAATTTCTAACGAAGCATTTTATTAAAAAAATCAATGATCAGGATCATGGTTAATTTTTAATGTTGGATGACCAAAATGAAACCAAAACGTAACATTAGGTATAATTTTGAAACAAAAAATTAGTTAGGTGATCAAAATGGAACTAAAGTGATAGTTAAGGTACTAAACTTGTAGTTTACCCTTATTTATTTTAGTACAACAAAAGGTTAGTGGAGCTTTTGCTTAAAACCAGGAAGGTAAGTGGAGCTAATTTGTGAATAGTCAATGGTTATTGGTGGAAATGTGCGAAACAAGAGGAGGCAGGTGTATCATTTCATCATGTTTATTTTTTCTTGGGTAAAATACACTCTAGGTCATTCAATTTGTGACACCATTTCTATAAAAAATGTTATAAACATGTTATTCAATTAAAATAGTATTATAAATAGGTTACTCTGTGGTTAAAAATGAAACGAATAACTAATGTGGCTGGTATAATAACATTTTTACTCTTTAAAACTTATATATATATATATATATATATTAATTTAAAATAATTCAATAAATTTAACCCTTCATGTTTAACATTTTTATCAATCTCGATTTTTTTTGTGATATTGTCAAATCAAGCAAGTCTGTCGGATCAAAATAATAGTTGGATAATTGCATTATGTCATAAAGCAACACCAAGTTATTGTTAAACTGTTATTATATCAACAACTCATTGGTCTAATAGGATGAGGCACTAGATTCCCTAAGCAAGGTTAGGAGTATGAATCTTTGTGCTTATGAATAGAGTAAACTAGGTTAATAGAATCTCTCTTAAATCTTCAGTACTCCATCTGGATCAATCAATTAATAAATTCAATAATAGTAGTTATACGAAGACTAAGATGTTGAAATTTTTAAATATAAAGAGTTAAATTTATTGAATTATTTTGAAATAGAATCAAATTGATAGATTGTGTAAGTTCGATGACTAAAACTACTATTGTATCTTGTTGTGTTATGATTTTATCTAATAACAACTAATAACTTATTTATAATATTGTCTTATAATCACTTCATATCATTAATTTTCTTTAAAAGAAAAAAGTGACATGTTTGTTGCCATACATATAATTGAATACTTGAAGTGTATTTTACCCTTATTTTTTCACTATACTTACTAAATCTATATACGTTATAAATGGTTGAAGTTTATTAAATTATATTTAAAAGTTACGTAAGTGGTTAAAGGAATGATTGTTATATCTAGAGGTTTCGAGTTTTGAGCACCAGCAACTGCAACATGGGTGATTGAGCATTCATTGTTAAATAATTGATAATATTTAGAACATATATTATTTTGTAATCAACTAAACTTAATAGAAACTTATACTTCAAAGTTTATTTTATTCTCTTTATTCTAAAAAAGAATATTTTAATATATTAAAAGTTTATCGGGTAATTTCAATGATAAAAATAAATATTATTCTCTTTAAAGTATTCAAATTCAAACATCTACAGTTGTAGGATTGTCAATTAATTAAAGGAATTTCGAACATATGCTACTAGCTTATTACTTATTAATAATTACATCACTAGTAAAATTTCATATTCATCCTTGATTACTTATTAATAATCACATCATTTATTATTTAATAATTTAATTAATAAAATTCATAATTCGATAATTAAAATAAATTATTCTTTATAGTTTAGGATAAACTGCATATTTAGTACCTAAATTATCAATTTTTGGTCTGTTTTAGTACCTATACTTTTAATTTTTTTTTAAAAATCATACCTAACATTTAGTTTTGTTTCATTTTAGTACCCCCGCCGTTAAAAACTTAACGGATGACTAGTGGGGCATAGCTCGGGTGGACGGACGACCAATCCGAACGGTGGACCACGAGAAAATGACGAGTCGACCAACATAGTATAGTTTCAAGACCATTGGACAGTTGATGACGAAGATCGAAAGATAAAGAAGTTGAAGAGTCTATTATCGATTTGGGGTTTAGGGTTTAGGGTTTACGACTGAAAGGTTTTGCCTTCATTGGTTGAAATAT